CCACCCTAAGGGCAAAAAAGTGGAAAACAGTGTCAAAAATCTGACAAGCTTAACGCAAGTTGCCTAAATTCTATACACACATGGCAAGTTTTTTGATTAGTCGCTAAGGGCTGTAATTTCACTCTGTAAATTAGCCCTATGACCGTGCTAGTAAGCAGTACGTTGGTAGGTAGTTTGTTCTAGCATAACTACCTCGACTTATTACAACTCCTTAGACGCCTTGGGGCACACGACAATAGGGTGTTTTGTGTGGCATCCTCGCATTATTTTAGGTCACAGAGGCTTACTTTAATGCAGACCCTTTCTGATGACACAGGCTTGTGTTAACCATAGCTAAAACACTCTAGGTGTAAAAAAGTTTCTTTTTGGACTAACTAGAGTTAAAGAATTGTTTAAATCATTTTATCCTCCCCTTTGGTAAAGAACAGACCACTGGGATGGAAGTCTAGTAATATGTGTGCGTAACTGCTAAGTGCCATTCCACAAAGACTGTGGATAAATATATCTTTTTTCAAAGGCACATTTTTAGCCACTTACAAAAAGTAAGAATTGCTTTGCCCAATAAAACACTTCTCATTAATTTTAAACCTTTCAGAGTTAATTTAAACTCCCAAAGCGTTGGCGATTTATTTGGGTCAGTGTCGCTTTCTCCATTTTTCATAGAGCAGTGGTATTTTTAGTACCACAGTATACAAGAAAAAAGGTTTTGGATTTGTCATATCCTCCTCCTGCTTTATAACCTCCGCCTTCCCCCAAGGACAAAATGTCACCCATTTCCTTTTGATGTTCTGACGCGCAGCTCATTTGGTCGCCTCTTTTTTAGTGGGGAAGAGGTGGGTACGAAGCATTTTATAGTCAAAGAAACACTCATTTAATTCACCCAAATGTAGCTCAAGAGGTAGTAAATATTGTCCCGTGAAGATCTACTGGTAGAGACACAATAATTTATTACAATCACCATTTCCTTCCCCATAAATCCAACCCTTTCTTCTACTTGGAAAGATTAAGTAATTTTGTCCTAGCATATCATCAGATTTTAATGAATAAATAAAAATCTTCGGGGAGGCATAGGCCTTTAAAATAATTAGAAATATCAACTACTTGTAATTCTTCATGTATATTTTAAATCCAACGACACAAATCGAGTTTAACTCCATATCAAAGCGGTAGATGCGATATTTAGGGGGTGGGCTTTGGAAAAGATGCAGGAAAGGGGCGCACTTACACTCCTTTGATACGTCATCAACCTAACTTATGTCTTAGGATAAGGAAGGAGAAAATTGTTTGCATCCACTTTAAATGGGCAAATCGTGAGACTTAGGTAATTCAGCCTTACAAGCATTGACAGATGGCAAGGGGTTTTAATGGATGTCATTAGCTTCTTTGCTTTTATTAAGTAGGTCATAAAAGGCTCGCAGTTATAATTCTAAGGATTCTTTGTTAACCGACTGCCTCTTGATGATAAATGGGCTCCTATGGTGCTAGGAAAAAAAGTACGCTTGTTTTAATGGTTGTTTTTAAATGCTCCATCTCTCATCTCTTTACGTCTACGTCTGCAGTTCTTTCTCCCCGTAACGCCGTACCTCTCTGTCTGACTTTCAGGCCCAACTGGCTTCACAAAAATTTTGGCAAAGCACGCCTTAGTTGATATAATAAGCTGCTGATAAGCTACACTGAGCAGATGTCTTGGTAGAATGCAGTAATTTTAAAGTTTTATGGGCAATAAACTTTCCCTGGCGAATAAATTTGGCAAAGTTGTTCAACAATATATCTCCAGAGTACACAACCATAATTTAGATACTGCTGAAAACAAGGGACTCAGGCAAGAATTTTTGCAATTTTATCTTTCTGCCTCTGGTATTAGTCTATGCAATTAATAGGATTAGTAAATGGAAGACTTTAGTGGTTGCTTGTGAGCCTAATCACCATATAAAGAGGATTAAGTTTTATGAAGACCCAAAGGAAGTCTCGCCCTTCGTCACCGGATCGGCCTAATCCACCAGCCTAAATATTGCATTTAGTAAGCATTTTCAACAGCAGCAATTAGAGTTAAAAATATAATTATTTGAAAGTCCAAAAATGCCTTTTAAAGTTATTTTTAGTTAATGGGTATTACGCGTTCATTGTAGACGCAAAATTGCGTTATACTCTGGTCATTCCCCCTTGTCCAGCCATCAAAGGAAACCAAAAAGAAACATTTACATGGCCTTTTTTTACTGAATAAATTGTCGTTTTTAGAAGAAATGCCTGAAACTTTACGCATCCAAAAACTCCAGAGGTACTGCCCACTTGCTCTATGGTAGTAGCGGACCCGTTCCCAGTAGTATTTGGGGAAATCCCCAAGAAACAATAATTTTTAAATTTAAAAGCCTGTATTATTATTATTAAGTTAGATAGTCTCAATCATGTTCAGAGGAAGATCCTCTACTACGGTGCCATATTTACATTATGTGTTATATATGAAGCCAAGTGAATGACAGGTGTAAGGGACGCAGAATCCAAAATGAAATAGTATTTTGTTTATACATACTATGCATATATGCATGATATGCCAATGCCCATGATTAAAAAAGATCAAGTAATATGTGAAGTAGAAGGCTTTTATAATTTACTGACTTTCACGTCTTTAATACTAATGTACCCTATTTTGAGCAAGCAAATCGGAATTTAAATTACTTAAAAAATTCTTTGGAAATTTTGTACCTAATTAAAGTTATTTCTTGCATTTTCTTGCACAAACATCGGAGAGGGGTTAATTTTCTTAAAAAAAGGTAAGCTGGACTTATTTGAATCCTCTCACATGGGCGACTACTTCCAAAGTAGTCCTTTTTTAATAACTTGGCACACTACAGGTACTCTTTCTATCTTTCCCTTCTTGCACCTTTATAACATCTTTTTTGTGAAATAAAAATCTGCTGTTAAGATCTATTTTAGAAATTCAGTTAACTTCAAAGGATAGGATAAAGGTGTAATTTTTATGAAAAGGTAAGCGGGGAGCTTTTTATGCCTCCGACGTAATTCTTCTAATGCTTTTCAGTGGGTCTCCGCAGTTAAAAAATGAGGTGCGAAACTTAGAAAATAATTTATGATTGCATCTTTGACACCATCATTTGATTTCATGGGGCTGTGGTTGCCCTAGTGTTATTAAAAAGAAAGGAAAAGAAAGGGTTATTTTTAAACTTATAGAAGAGGGCAAAATTTTCGGCACTCATTGGCACAGCCATGTGGCGCTTTCCTGCACTTCAACTTCTAAGTCCCCTCCTTCCCTTCGTCTGCAGCAGAATGTTACTAATTGACTGATTTTACGTTAAAAACGCATTTATTTTACTTTAGTAGATTTTGCCTTCATTACTTCGCAGTGGTAAGTAGATTTGAAAAAAAGAAAAACCGGGTCCGGAAGCTCATTAATCTCTATTACTGAGAGTGTTATCCCTGTTAAAATAGGAAAGAGACCAATTTTCATTCACCAAAAAAGGGTTAATGTATAGACCATTAAGGCCTGTTTAAATTATCACTTTTCGCTTCTTTGCACAACAAATCATTTATTACTACCGAGGGTTTTACAGGCTGCAAAGGATTGAGTTAACACCTCTCGGTTAAAAATTTGTTCCCCTCCTACCTCCAAACCTTCTAAGAATTTTATCATTGCGTGTGCTTGTCTAACGGCTTCCTTTTGAGAATGCACGTAATGCAAACGAAGAAAAACCTGGAAATAAAAGCGCTAACGTAGGTCCATCCCTGATTTCCAAGACTTGCTATGGTCTGGTACGAGTTAATTAGGGCCACAATGAGGGTGCAGCATCATAATATCGGTGCATCTTTTAATTTTTTGGCAGGTCTAAGCTAACCCTTTTTCTTATATCTCAAGGATGCAGCAGAATGGAAAGAAGAGGAAATTGCTCTACAGGATAATAATATACACTTGGACCATTATGGTTTGCCTTCAGACGCAGAAAACTTAACCCAACTACTTCCGTTTCTGTCTCTTCTCTATCCTCCACCCCCTTTTTATTTGTCCAGTGTCAAGAAAAGGGAACAATTTATTTATTTTTGAGGCATTATTAGAGGAGAACGGAAACTGAGGTGGAGGAGGAGACGGAAGTAGTAACTTTCTCCCTCATCTTAAATTGCGGTAAAAGTTCTTTTCACTTATAAGATTTGACGCTCCATTAGGCCTTTCGCTGTCAAATCCCTCTTACTTCTGACTAGGATCTTTCCCCATGTTTTTTTGTGGTTTCCTATCAGGCAATATCGTGACACAGATACTCTCCTAGGCTTCACTAAGAAATTCTTTACTGGCACTTATTCATTTATCGCGCCAAATGAGTGTATGTGTGAGTGGGTGTTTCGAGAGTGATCTATCTGCTTCGAAGAATCAATGGCAAGTTTCTTCGCTTGCTAAGGTTTGAAAATAAGTTATTTTTTATCACAATTTCACCAGCCCAAAGGGTATATCACATGGTGTACTGGACTACTCTATACGACTTCGCCTTCTCATTTGACGTGAACAAAGGATTGGTTCACTGCGTACATTAAACCTCAGTAAAAATTACTTTTAGGAATTTTTTCCCCT